ATGTGATTCACTCGAAGGTCAATGAGAACAAAATACGTGGGGAGACTCAGAAGGTAAAGCACTTACAGCATGTGTATCAAGTTTGGCAAAAAAAGACCTAGGATAGACGAGTGCCAGGGACCGGTGGTGTCCTTTACTGAAGACGACCTAGAGATGGTGCAACATCTACACAACGATGCCTTGGTAATATCCCTCCAGATTGGAGAATACCAAGTGAAGTGCATCTTAATTGACCAAGGCAGCTCTTGTGACATCATGTATGTCAGGTGTTACAAGGAGCTTGGCCTTTACTAAGATGATCTGGAACAATCCAATGGTCCAATGGTCGGGTTCAATGGAACGCTGACATAGCCCCTAGGAGCAGCAAGTTTAGAGGTGCAAGCTGGCACCAAGAAGATAAAAACAGAGTTCACCATAATCGACACCCCCACCCCTTACAATGCTATCTTGGGAAGGCCATGGCTACATGCAATGGGGGTTGTTCCCTCAACATTGCTTTAGCTATTACGGTTCCCAACAGAGCATAGAATAGAGGAGGTCAGAGGGGATCAGTTACAGGCAAAGAATTGCTCTATGGCGGTAATGAAATCTACCTACAACATACGAGAAGCAGAAACAGTAGAGATCGAAGACAAGAACGTAGAAGTCCTGGGGGACGTCGACAAAGAGCTAACAAAGAAGAGTGAGGAAGCCCTGAAGAAAATCCTTGTCCAGCAAGAGGACGAAGAACGCTTCTTCCTTTTCGGCTCGGGCTTGGCCGAGGAAGAGGAAAAAGAGCTAGAGGCATTCTTGAGAGCAAACATTAAAGTGTTTGCCTGGACGACGTACGAGATGTCTGGCATTGACCCCGAGATCACTTGCTATAGATTGAAAGTGAACAAGTTGGCATAAAGAGAGAAATATCTGGTGAAAAAAAATGGTATGAAAAATTAAGATAATTAATTATACCTTAACAAGTGCTTAAGAGAGGTCAGCATCCATTTGTTTTATATATATATGCATATATATCAGATATCTCTCTGATCTGATCTGTCTCCCTCACTCTCTTATCTCATCAGTCTCATTCTCTGGTTTTGCATCTCTGCACCGATCGACTCACAGTTAAGCCTCTCTCTCTCTCTCTCTCTCTCTCCCTGATCTCTCATCTCTGCACCGATCGAACAGATCTGTTCTGTTTGTTTGTTTTGGACCAACAGATCTGTTCTGTTTGTTTTGTTTTGGAATTTGATATGTTCTGTTTATTTTATTCTGCATCGATCACTCCCTGTGTGTTTGTTCTTAAGGAATTTGTTGAATCTGTGTGTATGTATGTTAATCAGATTCATGTTGATTTTGTTGAATTTGTTCTTAAGAAATTTGTGTATTTAAGAAATTTGTGTACGTATGTATGTATGTTAAGAAATTTGTTTGAATTTGTTCTTAAGAATTTTTGTTGAATCTGTGTATGTATGTATGTATGTTAAGAAATTTGTTCTTAGTTGTGTTGAATCTGTGTATGTATGTTAATTTTGTATGTTATTAATTGTGCATGTTAATTTTATTAAATCTGAAATCTGAATCTGTATGTTAATTTTATTAATTGTGTCCGTTATTAAATCTGAAATCTGAATCTGTATGTTATTTAATTTTTGGAATTCAGATTAAATCTGATATCTGTTTACATTGAATCTGTTTACATTGAATCTGAAATCTTTGGACTTCAGATTAAATCTGAAATCTGTTTACATTTTTGGATCTGTTTACATTGAATCTGTTTACATTTTTGGAATTCAGATTAAATCTGAAATCTGTTTACATTCATTCTGTTTACATTGTATGTTATTAAATCTGAAATCTGTTTACATTCAATCAATTTACATTGAATCTGTCTGTTTTCATTTGAGATCTGTCTTGATTGGTTATCATGTTGAGAAATTGGAGGAAAATCTTTGATGTCTCTTCAGTTACTTGGGTCGAGATTCCCACTTTTCATCTATATATATTTTTTTCAGTAAGAATAATAAAATGTGGTTGACTGGTGGTTGTTTAAAACTTCGTAAAATATAAACAAAAGACCTTGTAGTCACATTGCATGTGAATTTAGCTTCAGCTTGGTGATTTGATGTGTCTGTATTCTGTTGTGTGTTAGCTTCTTGTTAAATCTACTTAAAAGCCCAAAATTGTAGTTCATTCCTGTTTGATGGTTTAGTTGTCTTGTCTTCCTCATTGCATTTTTATTTTTTTATATTGCATCTACAAGTAGATCTAGTATCCAAAATCCTGGGCTTTTTTGACATTTGCTCTATGTTTTGTTAATTTTGTTGGTATTTTGGAATGCCATGTTTTATTACTTTATTTCTGGTTTTCTTATTGTTTCTTTTTTATTGTAGTATGTTGGAGGAACTCAATGTAAAATCCATTGTCCCATGCAATGATCCTTTGAAGCATGCTTCTTTACGTGCTGCGCCAGAATTCAGGTATTGACTGTAATTTTTGTTGCTCAAGTTATTCTGCTGTCTCTCTATTCTTGCTTACTTTTTTTTGGGCCATTGGGCTATTATCTTCTAGTGTATTAGGCAAACGTCTTGGAAAATCAATGCCTGTTGTTGCCAAGGAAGTCAAAGCAATGCCACAGGAGGATATTTTAGCTTTCGAGAAGTCTGGAGAAATTACTGTTGCTGCACACAGTTTGAAGCTGACTGACATCAAGGTGCATCGTTTTTCCTGTGTTTATGCAGCTCTATATTTGTTTCTTATCCGTAATTATCAGATAATTAGCTGTTTGTTACATATATAACTGATACCTACTAGATGGGATTGCTCACGGTCCAATTTTACCATTTCTCATGGCCATTAATCACTATACGTACGAGGCAAAGATCACTGGCATTGTTCCATATCCCTTTTTCCCTTCCTACCATCATCTATACCAATCTACCATTTATTTTGTCCCACGGTAAACTCCTTTTAACAACCCCAGCCACACTGAACAACGCTTATTAGCTGCCATGAAAAATACGAAACACTAAAAAAAGGCAATCTAATGGCAAAATATGAATCAGTTCACGACATCAAAGAGAGAATATATTTGAATTGAAATTATAATTGTAGGAAATGTGAAAAGTAGGACTAATCTGTTATTTTCTGAAAACATTATAAATAACGATTTGATGAAATAGGCTTCAAATATTAACTATGATTTTACATGTGCTATTTATGCCCAGCTAAAATTAGTGAATTCAACTTTAAATGTTTATGAATTTTTTTCCTTGCCAACATACATGATGTGATTGATAATTTAGAAAGAAAATACAGTGATTCATTTATTTGATATCCAAGAAAGTTTTTTTTCTTGAATTTAATTACTTAAGATATTGTTTATCTGGATTATCAAGGAAAAAAATAAGGTTTGTTTATCTTGCTATATAACTTTAGGCCCTATTTGATTCTTGGATATAGAAGGTTTAAAAATAAATTTTTGAAAAAAAGTTCAATTCGCAAACCGCCTGCATCCGCCCGCACATCTGCGAACCCTATCCGCACAAACCGCAAACCGCATTGCGGGCGGTTGCGGGTTGACTTTTTCCCAAACCGCATAGATGCGGGCGGGTGCGAACCGAACCGCAAACCGTCCCAAACCGAACCGCGGACATCTCTAGACGTTACAGAAATTTTAAAAAGTCATAAATGCCCCTAGATGTTTTATAAGAACATGTCCAGAGAAAAAATAAAAATACAGAAATTGACGCTTCGAAATCACAATTGCAGACAGCAATAGATAAGCTGATTTTTGTTTTACATCAAAATACCTGGTTTACTGCGATTCTCTCTTGAGATCAAAACAAAATCAACTAAAACACAATGTGATCCGAGTGTCATCCGCTAAACTCAAAATTGCCTGACACAAAGCCCATGTTGCTTGGCTATAACACATCCTCGTGATAGAGATGAAGTCCCAAACCAAAACAAGCACAAGCTCGACGAATTCGCCATCTAGTTTTGTCGATCAATCTGTTGTGAGTAGTTACATTGACTCCTCTGTATTGTATGTACAATTTATATATATTTATATGTGGATATAAATATATATGTGTTTTTGAATGTGTTTAGGTTCCAGGGGATGTGGTTCTTGACCTCTCAAGTATGGCTAATCAAACCATCAAGCTTGGGGGTGGTCTCCATCAGGTTTGTTTTATTCTTACTTGTGTGTGTGTGTTTGTTTTGTTGGGTTTGGTGCAAATTACCCTCTTTTTTTTTTCTTTGGCTAAGAAAATGAGTCACACAAGGAAAAAAAGAAAAAAGAATAAAAAGTGTTGTGAAGATAGTGATTTTGTTTATTTGGTCTTCACAAATATACAATTCCTAATTTGGTCGTGAATTTATTTGGTTTCATTGCTCTCAATCACTCAAATTTCTTGTTGGGTAGTAGTTTTTTGGGTACATCGGAGGCCATAGAATGGGGGAGGGGGTAAGGTGCAAGGGTTTTTGCCAACTTTGCTAGCCCTTGTTGGTTGGGTAGTAATTTTCATGCTTGTAGTGATTTAAATTTATTTTCTTTACGTTGTGTTTGGTTGGGGGATTGGGGAGAGATTTGGAAAGAGATTGGAAAAAAGTGTGTGAAACTAGGTGAAATATATGTATATTTTATTTACTTACCTTTTTCATTTCTCTTTTCAAAGCTCTCCCCAAATCTCCCAATCAAACACATCATTAATGATGAAGTGTGGAGTCACCGATCACACTCTCTTCTCTAACTTTAATTTGGTCATGAATTCATTTGGTTTCATTGCTCTTAATTACTCAAATTTCACGCAAATTTCTTGTTGGGTAGTAGTTTTTTTGGTACATTTGAGGCTGTTGCCTGGGTTAGGGTGGAGTCTTGCCTATGGCAAGACTTAAACCCTTGACCTCCTAGTAAGGAGGTGGAAGGGTTTTGGCCAACTATGCTAGCCCTTGCTCATTGGGTTGTAGTTTTCATGCTTGTAGTGATTTAAAATTTTGTGTTTTTAATGAAGTGTGGAGTCGCCGATCACACTCTCTTCTCCAATTTCAATTTCATTCCTCTATGTTATACTCAAATATTTTTCTTATCAATATGTTTATTTTCATTTTCAAATTCACATCCTTTTTGTCTGCCCAAAATTTTCAGAACTGTGATGCTATTTCTGTGACGAAGGCTGGGAAGCTGAGATTTGTGAAGCCAAACAAATATTGGGTTGAGAGCTCCCAGAAGAGAGTGAGTGTGGTGTTAAAATCATATGTCATATGATAAAATGTGAAAAAGGTGCCTTATTTTTTTGTGATGTTTTAATAACTATACAACCTATAAGTTTTAGCCCTATCATGAAAAAAAAAAAAAAGAATTGTAAATTTTATTTGCCTCATTCCATGTAAGCATTTAGATTTTCTTCTGTTTCCCAATATTTTAACCTTGAATAATCATGGGCTATAGTGTTTGTGCACTGTTCCTTATTGTGTATTTGTCTGGATATGTTAAGATTGTTTATTATGCCATTTCATAATGGTTATGATGGGACTACTTGAAGTTAGTTATGTAATCTATATTTCACAAGGGTTTTTCCAAACTTGAGGTGCGCAAATAAAACATTCTCATATTTATCCTAGACATATAAAACAAGCACATTGTTTTGATTTTAATCATTGTCTCCTAAATTGTCTTTTTCAAACTTGCCCATGTTTCATTTATCCCCTTCAACAGTGTTTGGCTATTTAAAACCAGCAGAATATTCAAAGTTTGAAAGCTAAGTGTTGATTTTCCCTTTTCTACTTTTGGATAAAGTAAATCTATGGGTATTTTTGATAAGAAATTATTGCGGGATGAAGCATTAATGTGATTTGATCTCCTTTTTATCTCTACTTAGCTGCATGTGTTTTTCTGAGGACTGATTGAGGTCTTTTTTTGTACTACTGAAAAATGTTACATTGGATTACCTTATTGCTTGGAATAATGGTTAAAGCTTCAATGAAAACATTTGCCTCATTTTTTGTAATCTATTAAGACACCCATCTTTAATTTTTAAAACAAAATTTATCATTGTTAATTTGCACACCATCGCGAGTTTCTATTTGATGGGGGTCGTGGAATTATTCAGTGCCGGTGTGGATGGAGGACGGCCCAACGGTGGAGCTTGTTGCGCCGCCTTTCGTGGCGGAGGCGGATCTTTGATTGGGTAGGGCGTGATTCACGCCAACCAAATCAAGGATCCCCGAAGATCTTGGGGATGAAGGAATATTTGCAAAGATTTTGGGGGAGAATGTATCTAGGGTTTCTTGGTATCAGCCTCGCTTCCATGTAGGGAAGGGCATGGGCTTTAAAGGGGGTTTTAAGGCCACACATTTGGGCCCTGACAAGGCCTAAAACATTGTTAATCTAGTGGGCATGTACATGCGGGGGCCTAATAGATGTTGCCAGGGGTCTGGGTTATGTGGAAAGTGAGGTGGGCCTTGTGGGTTAGGAGTTCGCCCAGCCCAACCCAGGTGGTAGTGCTTCAGGCAAGCCTAGTAACACCAACCCGGATCTCAGTCGGGTCTTTGCGTCGTTGCATGACAGGGTTGGGTGCTGTCCGATTGTCAATGCTTTAGGGGTGTCGGTGGAGGATACGCCACTTCACGAGAGGGTTGCCAGTGGTCGGCCAGTGGGCATGTCGCCGTCGTCGGGTTCTGCCGTCACTGGTTCGCAGTCGTATCATGCTCAGTTGCATCAAGTTGGTGCTATGGCGGAGGGGCAGAGCCATGATGAGGGGGGTTGCAAGGACAGGCGTGAGGCAGTGGACATGCAGACGGAAGGTCGCTGGGTTGATGTGGCAGATGAGTTGGCCTTGGTGGTTCGACCAGAGGTACCCTGTAGCGGGGAAGTTGGGGGGTGGATGTTGGGGAGGAGGATGATGTATCGGTGACAGAAACAGAGTTTCAGGGAGAGGGATGTCCAAGCCCAGTTAGGAATGGCAACAGGGCGGGGCGGGGTGGGGTCGGGGATCCCCGTCCCTGATCCCTGATGGTGGGAATTTCTTCGAATCCAAGCTAATGACGACTCACCTGATTCCCAAGTGATGGAATCACTTGATGAACGACCCACCGTGAATCAACCACACCGATTTTCTCATGTGCAGGCTATAGAATCAAAATAAAAGTATCAATTTCTTCTTAATAGAAGCAGCTGTCCTAATCTACAAGATGTAGAGCTCTTGATGTTGATGTATATCTTTAGACTGTCACCCCCCCCCCCAAAAAAAAAAAAAAACACATCTAAAATATCTGAACTCAAAAAACATAAACATCAAAAAAAAAAAAATTAGCTTAAAAAAAAAAAAAATCTAAGCTCTAACAAATCAAAAAAACATCTTCATCATTTTCATCACCACCAAATCTTCATCAACATCTTCATCTTCATCTCCATTATTTTCCAGATCTGAAGAATAAAAGCAAAAAACAAGAGAGGAGATCCGTGAGAGAGAGAGAGAGGGAGACGGACATACCGTGAGAGGGAGATGAGGAGTCGGCGGTGAGAACGAGAGAAGCAGTTGGCGGTGAGGGGTTGCCGGTGAGAATGAGAGGAGCCAGCGGTGACGGTGAGGGAGCTACGGTTGTGTTAGAGAGAGAGAGAGAGAGAGTGAGAGGCCAGACCCAGATGTGTATTATGATATAACATCTTCATCTTCATCTCCATTATTTTCTAGATCTGAAGAATAAAAGAAAAAAACAAGAGAGAGAGAAAGAGAGAGAAGGAGATCCGTAAGAGAGAGAGAGAGAGAATGAGATCTGTGTGAGAGAGAGACGGGGTACTGTGAGAGGGAGATGAGGAGTCGGCGGTGAGAACGACAAAAGCAGCTGGCGGTGAGAACGACAGAAGCAGCCGGTGAGAACGAGAGGAGCCGGCGGTGACGGTGAGGGAGCTACGGTTGTGTTAGAGAGTGAGAGAGAGAGAGTGAGAGGCCAGACCAAGATGTGTATTATGATATTTATAGCGAGAGCACTCTGTGCTGTGTTTGTGTAGAGTGTGAGTGTTCAAACAAAACATTACACACACACGTATGTTATATATAAGCAGGGGCAAAAGAGTCATTTCACGTCGGGGGCAACCGGGCCAGGGATCGGCGTCGGGGCCGAGTCGGGTTCGGGGCTGAAACATGTATCCCCGTCTCCGGCCCGAATATCATCGGGGATTTATTTTTAAATACCATCCCCGACCCGTCGGGGGTATTTTTCGGGAAAAAATCGTTCAATTCGGGGTCGGGGGGTCGGGTCCCTGTCGGGTCGGGTTCAAATTGCCATCCCTAAGCCCAATGGAGGTTTTGCATTGGGTCATTTCTCGTATCAATGAGGTGAGCCAATTTTTGGGGGTTTCTTTCGAAGGGCATGAGGAAGAGGCACTGGAATTTTTTCTGCAATAGAGGACTCATGGAGGGATGGGGCTCCTACTCGGGATGTGGTGGAGCCTATGAAACACAATGGAAAGCGTGTTAGGGAATTACGAAAACTGGAGTGTATGTTCAACAAATTATGATCGGAAAAAGGAAGGGAATGGGCGGGGCACTAGAAAGGGTCTCGGAAAATAGTAGTTGTTGCAATGTGGTTAAAAATTTTGACATGGAATGTACGTGGATTAAATGATAGGGGCAAGAGAGGGTTGGTAAAGTCTGTGCTCCATAGTGCACGGGCAGATGTGGTGTCTTCAGGAGACTAAGATGGAGTGTTTATGGGGGAGATTCTTAGGGAGTTGTGGGGTGGTCGGTTTGTGGATTGGACATATTTGCGGCTCTAGGGGTGGCAGGGGGAGTTCTTTGTTAAGATATGAGGGTGGTGGTCAAAAAGGAGGAAGAGGTGGGGGCTTTTTCGATTTCTTGCTTATTTCGGTGTGTTGAGGACGATTTCTGGTGCGCTTTTACAGGGGTATATGTGCCGGTTCATGGAGGGGAGCAGCTAAGTTTTTGGGAGGAGTTGTAATGCATTGCTTATCGGTGGGGGGTTCCATGGTGTGTAGGTGGCGCTTTAATGTGGTGAGGAGTCTGGAGGAGAAGTTGGGGGCAACTTCGGTGGTGGCTTCTATGTGGGCGTTCTCTTTGTTTATTGATGATATGGCACTTGTAGATTTGCTATTGTAAGGTGGTGCCTATACGTGGTCTGGGGGAGGAACAATGTCTCAGCTTGATAGATTCTTGGTAATAGGGGAGCGAGAGGAGCATTTCTCTCAGGTGACTCAAATTTGGTTGTCCCGTCCAGTAACAGATCATTGGCCAGTTTTATTGGATAGTGGGGGAATCAGGATGGATTGGTGCCGTTTTGGTTTGAGAATATGTGGCTCCAATCTAAGGGTTTTAAGGAGCTGGTGAAGGGTTAGTGGGACAGTTATTTTGTTTTAGGCTTGCCAAGTTGTTGCCTGGCACAGAAACTGAGTCTGATTTGAAGACGTGGAATAAGGAAGTGTTTGGGCGTTTGGAGGTCCAGAAGGTCAATGTGCTCGAGTTGTAATGCATTGCTTATCGGTGGGGGGTTCCATGGTGTGTAGGTGGCGCTTTAATGTGGTGAGGAGTCTGGAGGAGAAGTTGGGGGCAACTTCGGTGGTGGCTTCTATGTGGGCGTTCTCTTTGTTTATTGATGATATGGCACTTGTAGATTTGCTATTGTAAGGTGGTGCCTATACGTGGTCTGGGGGAGGAACAATGTCTCAGCTTGATAGATTCTTGGTAATAGGGGAGCGAGAGGAGCATTTCTCTCAGGTGACTCAAATTTGGTTGTCCCGCCCTGTAACAGATCATTGGCCAGTTTTATTGGATAGTGGGGGAATCAGGATGGATTGGTGCTGTTTTGGTTTGAGAATATGTGGCTCCAATCTAAGGGTTTTAAGGAGCGGGTGAAGGGTTAGTGGGACAGTTATTTTGTTTTAGGCTTGCCAAGTTGTTACCTGGCACAGAAACTGAGTCTGATTTGAAGACGTGGAATAAGGAAGTGTTTGGGCGTTTGGAGGTCCAGAAGGTCAATGTGCTCGAGTTGGATGTGATAGAGGTTGCGGAGGGATTGTTTGAGGCAGATCTTGCTTGCCGAGATGGGGCCCACGCGGAATTTGGTCACATTGTCTGTATGGAGGAGATGAGTTTTTGGCAGAAATCTAGATGCTTGTGGCTCAAGGATGGGATCGAAACACACAGTTTTTCCACCGTTTGGCAAATGCTCATCGATGAGTGAACCAGATAGGCAGATTGCGAGTGAATAGTGTGGAGCTGTCATCGTCCAAGGAGATTACGACAGGTATTGTGAGTTTCTACGAGCATTTATTTCAGGATTAAGGGGAGGTGTGGAGACCAGGCCTAGATGGTGTTATTTTTGATACTATTTTAGAGGCGTATAGTTGCTTGTTGGAACGACCTTTTGCCGAAGATAAGGTGTTTGAGGCTTTACGGAGTATGCCTGGGGATAAGGCGCCGGGTCCAGATGGCTTTTCGATAGCCTTTTTTCAGCAATGTTTGGGGGTGATGAAGGTAGATATGATGGCTATGTTTGAGCAGTTTCATCAATCAGGGGAGTTTGAGCGCAGCCTCAATGCCACGTTTATTGCTTTGATCCCAAAGAAGGGTGGGCCTGCGGATATTGGGGACTTTCGGCCTATAGTCTATTCGATAGTGTGTATAAGCTTTTGGTAAAAGTGTTAGTGAATCGGTTACAAGGTGTGTTGGAAGGGGTGGTTTTTGAGTCTCAGAATGCTTTTGTGGGTGGTCGGCAAATTCTGGATGCGGTTCTAATGGCGAATGAATGTGTGGACTCTAGACTTCGGTAAGGGCAGGAGGGGCTTATCTACAAACTTGATATAGAGAAGGCTTATGATAAGGTCAATTGGAAGTTTTTATTGTATATGTTGCACATATTAGGTTTTGGGGATCGATGGAGGAGGTGGATTCATTTTTGTATATCTATGGTGTGGATGTCAGTCCTTGTTAATGGGTCTCTCGCGGGTTCTTTCTTACTTATAGAGGGTTACGGCAAGGGGATCCATTATCTCTTTTGTTGTTCATTTTGGTGATGGAGGCGCTGGGGCGTTTGTTGTCTCGAGCAATGCAAGGGGGCATGTTGCAGGGGTTTGCTGTGGGAGTGGATACAGTACCTCTGACGATTTCCCATTTGTTTTATGCGGACGATGCGCTTATTTTTTGTGGTGTAGATGTTGCTCAGATTGGCCACTTGAGGTGTGTGTTGTTGTGTTTTGACGTAGTTTCAGGCCTTTGAGTGAATCTAGCAAAGTCGGAACTGATTCCAGTGGGCGAGGTGGAAAGGACATCGGTGTTGGCAGTTATTCTGGGGTGTAAGATGACGTCTCTAACAGTCTCATATTTGGGGTTACCTCTCGTGGCGTCCTTCAAGGCGAAGGGGGTTTGGGATGGGGTGGTGGAGCGTGTGCAGCGACGGTTGGCTGGGTGGAAGTGGCAGTATTTATCAAAAGTTCGTAGACTCACGTTGATTAAGAGTGTCTTATCTAGCATTCCAACTTACTTCATATCTAATCATGTCATTCCGGTGTCCATGACAAAGCGGATTGAAAAGTTGTAGAGGGATTTCCAATGGGGCAATGGGGAGGAGGGTTCTCATCATCTGGTGGCTTGGGATCGGATTTGTTGTCCCAGGGTCAATGGGGGTCTGGGGATTCGGAGGTTGGTTATGTTTATTGTGGCTTTGTTGGGAAAATGGTTGTGACGTTTTGTGGCGGAGAGAGACCGTCTTTGGAGGAGGGTGGTGGTGGTGGTGGTGGTGGCAAAATTTGGTGAGGGGAGGGGAGGGTGGAGTTCTGGGTGGGTGGTCCAATCACTTGGCCATGGTTTATGGAAAGGGATTTGGTTGGGGTGGGAGGAGTTCTGGAGGAGGGTTAAATTGAAGGTAGGAGTGGGGGATAGAGTTCGGTTTTGGCGGGATAGGTGGTGTGGTTACCTTTCCTTGGAAGTGCGGTTCCCTTTGATTTTTGGAATTGTTGCTAATACGGAGGTGATGGTGGATGCTGTGTGGTCTAAGCAAGGGGATTCGACGTTTTGGAATGTGCACTTGTGCCGTAATGTATAGGATTGGGAGCAAGACCAGTTGCTGGAGTTGGATTTTTTATATGAGTTGCGTGTTAGGGGGTTGGGGCTGGATGCTTTGGAGTGGGATTGCCCTAGGGCTGAAGGAAAGTTTTATGTTTCCTCATTTTATAATGTGCTTGTTCATGAGGAGGCTGTTGTTTTCCCTTGGCAATGTGTTTGGGTGTTAGGTACGCCGTCCAAGGTGTCTTTTTTTTGTGTAGACGGCCATGTTGGGACGTATTTTGACTTTGGATAATTTGATTCGTCATGGCCACATTTTGGTCAATTAGTGTTGCTTGTGCTGTGGTGATGCGGAGTCGGTGGATCATTTGTTGGTTCATTGTCTGGTTGTTTCTTGTCTTTGGATGCTTGTTGTTGCGATCTTTGGCTTGGTTTGGGTGCAGCTGAATTCAATTAAGGCTGTTCTGCAAAGTTGGGTTGGGGTCGTGTTGGGCAGCAGCGTCGGAAGGCGTGGATGCTTGCCTCTCATTGTCTTTTGTGGATGGTTTGGTTGGAGCGTAATAGGCGTGTTTTCTAAGGGGTAGCTCATTCGGTTCCTTGGTTAGAAAGACACCTGCTTATGGTTTTGTATAATTGGGTGACACATTCGGTTAATCCTGATGTTTTGGCTTTTGTAGATTTTGTGGAGGATTTGATTTGTTGATTTCGTGAGCCTCGGTGGCTTTCAGTTTTGTATTTTTTTGCATCATATTGATGTTTTTCTAATAAAGTTTGGTTATTTATCAAATTTTTTTTTATTTTTTATTTTTATTTTTTTATGTTGTCGTGGTTTATTTACTTTGTTTTATTTAAAATGTATTCTTTTTTTTTATTTTATTTATGTTTTTAATCTTTTTGATCTTATATAATACTGACAAAATTGAAAGGAAAGCTTTATAGAACATCTATCTATCTATCTATCTATAAAATTAAAATACCAAAAACACATAATTGTATGGCTTAAGAACAACTAAGAAGTATGCTCATGAAATGAATGTAGCTTAGATGAAAATGCTTAAATGGATTTGTGGTGAGACTATGAAATATGGAATTAGAAATGAATATATTCGGGAAATAGAGGACCAATTAAAGGTAACTTTAGAGAGTACATGCTAAGATGCTTTGATTATGTACAATGAAGACTTGTAGATGCAATGGTAAGGAAAAGTGATATGAAAATGTTAGGGATGGGCGAAGACTTGAATTGACATGGGATTTGATTGTAAAACAAATGGATTTATTTAATTTAATTGAGCATATAACCCTTGACAAAGCAAAATGGCCACACAAAATTCATATAGTTGACTCCACTTGATTGGGACACAAAGCTTAGTTTGGTTTGGATTGGTTTGATCTTATACATGAAGCTCATCAATATTCACTTTAGCTCTACATTATAATATTAGTGATTTTTTTATGATTTTACAAATCTATGCACTCAAAATTGAATGTATTTCATTTTTTTTTTCTTTCTATCTATTACACTAGGATTTCATTGTTCTTTAAATTTTTATGTATTTTACTATCAGTTATTAGTTTGAGTTTGTTTCTTGCATATAATAATTCTAATGTTTCTATGTCTTATTTCCTGCATAGAACATTCTAATTTGTGTTCGAATTTTGTTCTCTACAGTACGTGCCTTGTGTGGGGGATAATGTTCTTGGAATTGTGGTAGATTCCAAAGCTGATGTAAGCACTCTAATCATTTACATCATTCAATGTTATTGGTTTATTAATTTCAGTTGTGGTTAAACCTTCTATTTTTCTGATTAGCTTATTATTGCAATTAAAGGATGTGTTTTGGTTTTCCATTATTTGTTATAAATATATTAAAAATTTTCTTTCTATTAGATTTTTGTGTTGTGTAGCTTGATAGCCTATGTAACACGAGCATTGTGGAAATCTCTCTTTTTATCACCTCCTCCTATTGTGGCATTAATGTGGATGTTCATTTTGACACCACTTGACACGAATGATTACAAAAGTTTGAATCATTAAGAAACTTCTACATTAAGAAGGGGCAAATGACTATTGTTTATTTATCAAAAAAAAAAAGAAAAAAAAGAAGAAGAAGAAGAAGAAGAAGAAGAAAGGGGCAAATGACTATGATCACAAATTTGAATAATTCAGAACCTAATACTCCATCTGGTAGGATGGATAGAAAATTGAGAGCAAGGGAAAGTATAAGAAATGGAAAAGATTAAATCCTAGCACTCTTTGATCATCGGTGAGGATATGGCTTCTTTTCTAGGGGAATTTATTTGGAAGTCTGGTGTGCCAACAAAGCTCATTTTTTTTTGGGTGTATGTGCGTGTGGACATTCTCACTATTGATAACTTGGTGCATGATTACCTTTCTATTCACTTGTCATTCCCATTTTAGGGTGACCGTTAAAAGCTTGAGCATCTCAAGGGGTTCTTTTCTCAGTTAATCAGATGAACAAATAGACCTGGTGTCAGTAAACATAGGCTGTTTGTACCTCTGCTGCCACGGAAGCGGAAAGAGGCTTATCCTGCAAACCCTGCAACAATTATTTTGTGTGTTCTGTTACAAGAGGGAGAAAAAATGAGAAATCACTTGAGATCATTTGAACAGATCTTACTTGTTGAGGATCCTTGAAAACGTGCAAACTGTTGATGAGAACTATTGGGGAGTGATCCAAATAAATATGTAGATCACAAAGTCTGAGAGTTTATCTAATGGGGTAGCTATGAAGCATGGACACTCCACAATCGGTGCCGTGGCGGTGTTCGACACAAGGACACGCCAGATGGCGTGCCCCTTTAATTTAATGATTTTTTTGTAAGGGACACGGTGGGGATACGCGTGTCCATATCGGGACACGACATGGGACACGGCGGGGCTGACTTTTGTTTTCTTCTTCTTTTGCCTCTCTTATTTAGTCTCTTGTGAAGAATATTGTTGGATGTTGAATGTTTTTCCCTTCTCATCTTAGTTTTTGTTATCGTTTATTATGACTTTTTTGTGAATGAATGATCTATTAATTTGTTTTAAATGTAGTGGTTATATTTATTGAATTAATGTTACTATGTTAGTGTTTGTTAATTTTGATTTAGGATGAATGTAATATGAATCTACATAATATATAAAAAAATATTTAAAAAAAGAAAAAAAGTCGCCCTGTCTCCCGCCTTGTCTGTGTACCCGTCCCCATTTTTTGGAAATTGCCGTGTCCAGTGTCCGTGCCCGTGCCTGTGCTTCATAGTGGGGTAGTATCGGGGATTCTTTCTACATCTCTGGTCAGAATGCATCAACCTTGTCATATAGTTAATTGAACAAGGTTTTTTTCTTGTCAAATCAAAGTTAATTTTGTTCTCATGTATAGCTTTAATCACTATATAATCTCAAATTTTACCTGAATACTATAAGTCTTGATGCTTGCTGTTATATTTTCCTGTTTTTTATGGCTAGAAACTTCCTTTCTCTCTGTAGAAGTTGCTTCTGGCATCAATTTCATATTTTTTCTGTTGAAAACAAAATTGTTAAACTTGATTTTTGAGGGGATAGTGTTTGGATGGCTATGTTTTTAAGACCTTTTTTAAGGACTTGTAAAAAAGGGTCTGTGTATTTGTGTCAGAGTCGTGCATGCCACTGTTCTTGCCAAACAGGATAGAGTTTAGACATCATGTTTCTTGCACCACATTTGACATCCTTAGTGCTCTTATTGAGTTTATGTATGATTGCTCTAAAATATCGGTAATGTTTGTATCTCTATTTACCTGTTTTGGGTTGTATGTACCTTCTTGAAGAGGAATATTTAATGATGCAATATGTTTCACTTATCATGTTTGTTTTAAAAAACAAAAATCACTGGTATCCAATTTATTTTTCACTTTAGTATGTTTAAAATCTACGCGAACTCTTGACACAATTCTTTGCTCTATTCATTTCAGAACTTCCTTGTGGATATAAAAGGGCCTGCATTGGCATTTCTTCCTGTACTTTCATTTGAAGGAGGAACAAGGAGAAACATACCCAAGTTTGAGGTGCAAGTTTCACCATTTAGAATGTTTTGACCAACGCACTATGCTATTCTATTTATTTTTGATTGATGCCCCGCTGTTTTCTCGTTAACTTGGGTTATATGACGTGAAGATGCTTACGATGACTATGTCCATCTCAATCTTGTGTTCATGTTCCATGATTGGATTGCAAAACCTGCTTTAGGAAAAGTGAATTTGACCGACAGATTGTTTGTTTAGTGCTAAGACCAACACTGAGAATGGGAAAACTGAAAAAGAGTAAATCAAGGGCAGGCTGGGATTCCCATTGGATGTGGTTTGGAACTGCTGAATATATGCACCCATTATAGTTCAGCAAAACTGTCCTAAAAATTGAAACTTATCCATAATTTTTTTCTTTTAATATTATTGCATTTCAGTTGGCTTAACCTTCATCTTGCAGGTAGGTACTTTGATCTATGTTCGGGTGGTGAAGGCAAACACGGGCATGAATCCCGAGTTGTCATGCACTGATGGTTGGTTTTCATTCTGGACTTCCAACTCCATTTTATATATGGCTTCCATGCGTTGCCTTCTTTTTTTCTTGTAAAATTCTCGGTCGATTTAAGATTCTCAATTGACCTATAGTTTCTGAAAAACTATTCATGCTTTGTAGCCACTGGGAAAGTAGCGGAGTATGGTCCCCTTAAAGATGGCTTCACATTTGAATCATCAACTGGCCTTGCCCGAATGTGAGATTTTCCCTCTCCTTTAATACATGGATATTTCAGTATTTCTAACACAGAACCACTCTGTTTGAATTCTACGCATTGAGATTTTCTTTCAGTTGTGCTGACATGTCTGTTTTTTTGTCTTCTAGGCTGCTCAGCTCCCCAACATGCCCGGTTCTTGAAGGTCTTGGGAAGAAGCTCTCCTTTGAGATAGCAGTTGGTTTAAATGGCCGAGTTTGGGTATGAAACTTGTGTTGCTTCCTTATTGCAGTTGGGTTGAAGAGGTTCCTTGTTTCAAAACTATTTTATTTTATTTTTGTGGAAATTAAAAAATAACCCCAGGTTTAACCCTATTAATAAATTAAACTCCCCCACTACCAGCCACCCCTCACCCGACCCTGCCACCACCAGCTGCCTGAGCCATCCCTAGTGCCTCCCTCACCCTCCCTAGACCTCTACTTCACCAGCTCCGCACTACCACCTTCCCTTCACGAACCCCTCCATCTAATTGGGAGAAACCCTTGATTTTTTCAACTATTGATATGGCCAATGACTGTTGCAGAAGGTCGGATCCTATGTCGTCAAGTACATGGTAGGATTGATGATGGGTGGTTTAGTGGATGGTTGATAAAGGGTTGTTGCAATCTAGTTTGGTCAAGCTTAAAGTTGGATTGACTTCAAGTTTAAAAAGCGAGTGAGAGTGCCACGTTACTGCATAAATTTTATAAGTAAAACAATCCCTTAATGACTATCATCATCATCATCATCATTATGTTCTCTTCTCCCGTTTCCTTTGTGTATTGTGATCTTTACTTTCTCTAGGCTTTATGTCATCTATGCGGGCTGAGCCAAAAGCTCTTTGAGAAGAATTTATTCTTGCTATTTTAATATTTGTAAATATAGTTTGGATTCTTATTTTTAAAATAAATCACTTTCTAGTACTGATGCTTTCTTATTTTCTCGGCATTTTTGTATCAATGTAGGTGAACGCTGAGGCTCCATCTACAGTCATCCTTATATCAAATGCAATTATGAATTCAGAGTCGTTGAGTGGGGTTCAGCAAAAGATTATGGTGGAGAAACTGCTCCAGAGAGTTCAGTGATCAAGTCAGTCCATTTCATTTGTGATTTAATCTCCACTCCTTTAAGTTAATAAAGTACAAAGCAGCTGCAAAAACTTAGGTTTTAAAAATTTTATTCTATGCTATCAGTATACTGTTTTTATTTGGGGTTAATTACACTTCTATCCGACCCAAATTTCACTTAGTCCCGATAATTTTAATTTGAACAATTTGGTCCATACATTTTAAGTCGAGTTTTAATTTGGTCATTTTGTCTAAATTGAAGATTAAAATTAACAATCTGGGACATCTATCAATTTTCTAAATTGTACACAGACAATTAACAAAAATTTAGATGGAATGATCAAATTGAAACCAAACTAAAAGGGTACGGAACAAATTGTTCAACTTGAAACTATAGGAACTAAAGTGAATTTTTTTTTTTATCAAACTAGGGTGAAAAGTGTAATTAACCATTTTATTTGTTAAAATGTGGTTTCTATATTAAGACTATGGTATCACTTTTGTTAACAACAAATTATTAAAAGTTATCGCACTGTTCAGTTGCAAAAAAATTGCAGGTTGTCTATTCATATCGGAATTAGTTTCTCTACAAAAGTGTTCTAGGTGCGTATCCGTGAAGTCTTCCTAAAAAATTAATAATTTTAAAAAAATTTAACACGTGACATGACGTGTCTGACATGTAGACATCTGTGTACATGGCTTGTTGGTGTCTTACGCCCATTTTGAAGTGTTTCTTGCTTTCTAGATTGTTGAAAGTGTAGTATTGGATTTGTGGGTTTGCAGCCAGGTTCTTCTCACCCTATCCTCTTTCTTCTCTGACTTGCATATGAGCCCAATTTTCCATTTTTGCCAACTGTGATGAAAACATGATGTGGTTGGAAATCCACAAGATAGAAGATGCCCCTTTTGGAGGTGCAATGACTTCAACCTTTCATTCGTAGGAGGAGAGAGGTGGTGTAAAGGAGGAAGTTGACATTTATTAGTTCCCAAGAAAGTTAGTGACACTGACATGCTTGTTTAATACTCTGTACCCTGAAAGAGGGAAAATTAAATTGTATTCATGAGGAAAGCTTTGAAACAATTTGATGATGGTCACCATTTCTGAAACTTGAGAGAGGGAACGTTTACTTTTGATGATTAGTATGGTTTGTCATAAATGATAAAGTGACGTGTATAGTTTGTCTAAAATTTTATCACCGACATATACCCTGATCATTATTTGTTTAATTCGGTGTATGTAAACTTATTGGAAGCATTTAGGAGAACAAGTTAATATATTTCATGTGATTTCTAAACATTTGAAAATATGATTTGTTTTGCACTGTTTTCCTGGTATGTCGTTTATATATATATATATATATTAGCAGAACACATGACAAGATATTAGTTGGTTTTACTATTTTCTTAATAATAATTTTCAAACAGGGAATCAATCATGTTTATCGGTAGGAGATGATACAAATGTAGTGACTGACATTTTCACATGCACAGTTCTTTTGGTCAACTTGGGAGGAAATTTAGACCTTTTGAAATTTTTGTTGGTAAGTTGATTTTCAAATCAAAGATAGTCGAATCAAATAGTTTATGTTAAGAAGTTGATTTTTGAATCAAATGGTTTTGTTCAGTAGTTGATTTCCGTACAAAAAAAATGTGTGTTCAGAGAAAATGATGCAGAAATATAAGTTCCCGATTGATGAGCTTCATGAGAATTCAATTTGGAAGTTAAGTGAGGTTTTTCTGCTTATGAAAGGGATCAGCTAGGAAGCACTCTCAAAAGTTAATCCAAATCGTACTTCTGTTTTCTTGACTTAATTAATGCTGTTTAGTATCATTGGAACTTGAAAATAAAATAAAATTTACACATAAGAAAAGATCACCAAGTGTATGCTAGACAATAGATACTATGTTATTTTTTTTTAATGATACTAAAATAAGCATTATTAAGTCGAGAATTTTGATTATTTTGTTTGTTTGTTTTATTTATGTTTAAATGCAATCACAACTGCACAATCATATGTATATAAAAATCAAGAGGATCACTTTGCTGTAAAACATGCTCGGTGCAAGTGTTCTTTTTTGTTTATTGCAAATGTAATATGTGATTGGGTGTAAGTGCAATAGAGACACAGAATAAGTGACAAGTGTGCACAATTCTAAACAATTTCCATTTGCATCAGACAGTTCAAATTTGCACTTGTGTATATATTGCACTTGCGCCGAGCATGTGTTGTTGAGCAATGGAATGGGGAAGGGAAGAAGGTCGCAACAGAGGGTCTAAAGGGATTTGAGCGGTTTTGGTGGCTAGGGTTTTCATCAACTAAATTTTTTTTTAATTAAATAATTTTGCAATTATAAAGTGATAAATGATATGAAGTGATTTAAGAACACCAATTAATCATTCCATGTCATGTGTGCATGCAATCAATAGATGAAGTCAAAAACATTGAAGAGGCCATCAAAATCGCATTAAATGGTTTGTTTTAGTTTTCTCGGAATTGGGGCCACTGTTGTGCCTCAATTTGATGTACATTATGAGGTCACTGTTGTGCCTCAATTTGATGTACATTATGAGCTTATTTCTATGATTCGAACTGTCATTTTGTAGGGTTTGTTAAGTACTTGATGCCTACCAAAAATCATATTAATCGGATATCAATAACTATATGATCGGTAATAAAAAAAAAAAAGTTTTTCTTTTGAGAAATAACATAAAAAATATACAATTCGATCATATACTCATTGAAGAGGCCATCAAAATCACATTAAATGGTTTGTTCGAGTTGTAAAATTCAATGTATAAAGAGAAATACGGAGAGAATAAATGTATCTATTGATATTATTATTGATTGTGATGAATATGTTTACAATGATTCCTATATGTAGAAGAGTAGAGTAGGTAGGTGTGTAGTAGGTGAAGTAGGTGGTAGTAAGTGGTAGTGGTAGGTGGAGTAAGATGTAGTTTTTTTTTTACATTCAACAGCCCTCCTCAAACTCAAGGGGGATAGGAACTAACCAACTTGAGTTTGGAGAGAGTAACAAGACAGGAAAATAATCTGACAAATAAAATAAAAAAAGGATAGGAGACACTGTATGGTCGTGTCAGACCGTTGTAGAAGACTGTATGGTTATGGCAGACCGATGTAGAAGACACTGGCTCGTGTCGGACCGATGTAGAAGACAGTTTATGGGGTCATGTCGGACCGTTGTAGCAAACAATGTTGTGACAGTTGTTGTGACAGTTTACGGAGTCTTGCTGGACTCTTGTAGAAACTAACCGGAATTAATGTCGGGACAGTTTACAGAGTCTTGTCGGGCCCATGAAGGAGCTAACCGGAATCAATGTCGGGACAGTTTACAGAGTCTTGTCGGACCCCTAAAAAGTTGCACCCTCAAAAGGTGTGCCCAATCTTTCAAAAGGCGTGTCATCAAAAGGCGTGCCCAATCCATAAAAAGGTGTGCCGGACATTATGGCGATGCACGTGACTACCTTGGCTTGCACGCCCATGTTGTCGTCTAGCGTCGAGTGGCGCACGATGCGCGTGTCTGCCTTGGCTATTTAACCAAGACGGAGGCTGAGGCTGAGGCTGAGGCTGAGGCTGAGACAAAAACCTGCTAAAAACCTCTGAAAAACGCTTCGTTTTCTGAGAGAGATACTCTGTAACACTCTGTTGCCCAGAAAATGGCCTCTTCTTCCCGTGGTGTGCTCACTCTCTTTCCAGACCTCAACGAGTCCACAAGAGAGATAACTGGTGCGGTTGTCCGTGAACCTCAACCAAGCGCCCCTGAGTTTGCTCCGTTGACCTTTCCTATGCGGTCTGTGGAGCAAATAATGGCAGCGCAATCAGATATTGAGGCCAATCAGTATACATTGAAGTCATGCGTGGAGACCATGATTGCGGTCACAAACTTGTCGCACCGGCTTCAAAGTAGGACAAATGAGGTGCAGCAGTTAAACGCCCAACTGGCTCTGCTCCAGCGCATGTATAAGGATGCGCGAGCAGAGATATGTGTGCTAAAAGTGGAAAACAAGGAGCTGAAGCGGAAGGCCACCATTATGTTCCGATTCGGAGGTCCGCCATATGCTGCGGTGGAGGAGCAAGGGGGAGTGAACGGGCTCGGCAGCACGGGAAACACAGAGGCAGCACCGTCAAGGGCCGCCCAGGACGGAGGCAAGAAGAAAAGACCGGCGGAAGAGGTGAATAAGTGAGGTCGGTGGGTGGCTGTCTGCAGAAAAGATTTCAAATCTTTTGTTGTGGTGATGGTGGTCTTTGTTGTTGTTGGTGTTGGTGTTGGTGTTGGTTTTGTTTTTTTTTTTGTTTTTGTGTTTTGGTGTAGAAATGTAATCGGGGTTGATCCCTATCATGAATAAAACGAGTTTTTTTTTTTGCAAATCGTATGGCAAGAATGACACAATAGGGAGCATAAATAATAAAGAAAAAAAAGGATTAAAACTAAGGTGAAAGAAAAATAAATAAAGAAAGAAATAAGATTAATATAGTTGAAAGCAAAACGAGAGAGTGAGGGAAAAAGGAGATTGGTTCACGCGAGTTTCTTGGCCCACGGTTTTGTTAAAATCTGCCATGGTGCTTGGTATTTTTTTTTTTTTAATAATGTTGAATGCTTTCTCCTTATATTTATTATTGGATGTTAAATCTTTTACCTCTCTTATATTTATTGAATTAATGTTACTATGTTAGTGTTTGTTAATTTTGATTTAGGATGAATGTAATATGAATCTACATAATATATAAAAAAATATTAAAAAAAAGAAAAAAAGTCGCCCCGTCTCCCGCCGTGTCTGTGTACCCGTCCCCATTTTTTGGAAATTGCCGTGTCCAGTGTCGGTGTCCGTGTCCGTGTCCGTGCCTGTGCTTCATAGTGGGGTAGTATTGGGGATTCTTTCTACATCTCTGGTCAGAATGCATCAACCTTGTCATATAGTTAATTGAACAAGGTTTTTTTCTTGTCAAATCAAAGTTAATTTTGTTCTCATGTATAGCTTTAATCACTATATAATCTCAAATTTTACCTGAATACTATAAGTCTTGATGCTTGCTGTTATATTTTCCTGTTTTTTATGGCTAGAAACTTCCTTTCTCTCTGTAGAAGTTGCTTCTGGCATGAATTTCATATTTTTTCTGTTGAAAACAAAATTGTTAAACTTGATTTTTGAGGGGATAGTGTTTGGATGGCTACGTTTTTAAGACCTTTCTTAAGGACTTGTAAAAAAGGGTCTGTGTATTTGTGTCAGAGTCGTGCATGCCACTGTTCTTGCCAAACAGGATAGAGTTTAGACATCATGTTTCTTGCACCACATGTTTATTTTTTGACATCCTTAGTGCTCTTATTGAGTTTATGTATGATTGCTCTAAAATATCAGTAATGTTTGTATCTCTATTTACCTGTTTTGGGTTGTATGTACCTTCTTGAAGAGGAATATTTAATGATGCAATATGTTTCACTTATCATGTTTGTTTTAAAAAACAAAAATCACTGGTATCCAATTTATTTCACTTTAGTATGTTTAAAATCTACGCGAACTCTTGACACAATTCTTTGTTCTATTCATTTCAGAACTTCCTTGTGGATATAAAAGGGCCTGCATTGGCATTTCTTCCTGTACTTTCATTTGGAGGAACAAGGAGAAACATACCCAAGTTTGAGGTGCAAGTTTCACCATTTAGAATGTTTTGACTAATGCACTATGCTATTCTATTTATTGTTGATTGATGCCCCGCTGTTTTCTCGTTAACTTGGGTTATATGACGTGAAGATGCTTACGATGACTATGTCCATCTCAATCTTGTGTTCATGTTCCATGATTGGATTGCAAAACCTGCTTTACGAAAAGTGAATTTGACCAACAGATTGTTTAGTGCTAAGACCAACACTGAGAATGGGAAAACTGAAAAAGAGTAAATCAAGGGCAGGCTGGGATTCCCATTGGATGTGGTTTGGAACTGCTGAATATATGCACCCATTGTAGTTCAGCAAAACTGTCCTAAAAATTGAAACGTATCCATAATTTTTTTCTTTTAATATTATTGCATTTCAGTTGGCTTAACCTTCATCTTGCAGGTAGGTACTTTGATCTATGTTCGGGTTGTGAAGGCAAACACGGGCATGAATCCCGAGTTGTCATGCACTGATGGTTGGTTTTCATTCTGGACTTCCAACTCCATTTTATATATGGCTTCCATGTGTTGCCTTCTTTTTACTTGTAAAATTCTCGGTCGATTTAAGATTCTCAATTGACCTATAGTTTCTGAAAAACTATTCATGCTTTGTAGCCACTGGGAAAGTAGCGGAGTATGGTCCCCTTAAAGATGGCTTCACATTTGAATCATCAACTGGCCTTGCCCGAATGTGAGATTTTCCCTCTCCTTTAATACATGGATATTTCAGTATTTCTAACACAGAACCACTCTGTTTGAAATCTACGCAATGAGATTTTCTTTCAGTTGTGCTGACATGTCTGTTTTTTTGTCTTCTAGGCTGCTCAGCTCCCCAACATGCCCGGTTCTTGAAGGTCTTGGGAAGAAGCTCTCCTTTGAGATAGCAGTTGGTTTAAATGGCCGAGTTTGGGTATGAAACTTGTGTTGCTTCCTTATTGCAGTTGGGTTGAAGAGGTTCCTTGTTTCAAAACTATTTTATTTTATTTTTGTGGAAATTAAAAAATAACCCCAGGTTTAACCCTATTAATAAATTAAACTCCTTCACTACCAGCCACCCCTCAGCCGACCCTGCCACCACCAGCTGCCTGAGCCATCCCTAGTGCCTCCCTCACCCTCCCTAGACCTCTACTTCACCAGCTCCGCACTACCAACTTCCCTTCACGAACCCCTCCATCTAATTGGGAGAAACCCTTGATTTTTTCAACTATTGATATGGCCAATGACTGTTGCAGAAGGTCGGATCCTATGTCGTCAAGTACATGGTAGGATTGATGATGGGTGGTTTAGTGGATGGTTGATAAAGGGTTGTTGTAATCTAGTTTGGTCAAGCTTAAAGTTGGATTGACTTCAAGTTTAAAAAGCGAGTGAGAGAGTGCTACGTTACTGCATAAATTTTATGAGTAAAACAAGCCCTTAATGACTATCATCATCATCATCATCATTATGTTCTCTTCTCCCGTTTCCTTTGTGTATTGTGATCTTTACTTTCTCTAGGCTTTATGTCATCTATGCGGGCTGAGCCAAAAGCTCTTTTGAGAAGAATTTATTCTTGCTATTTTAATATTTGTAAATATAGTTTGGATTCTTATTTTTAAAATAAATCACTTTCTAGTACTGATGCTTTCTTATTTTCTCGGCATTTTTGTATCAATGTAGGTGAACGCCGAGGCTCCATCTACAGTCATCCTTATATCAAATGCAATTATGAATTCAGAGTCGTTGAGTGGGGTTCAGCAAAAGATTATGGTGGAGAAACTGCTCCAGAGAGTTCAGTGATCAAGTCAGTCCATTTCATTTGTGATTCAATCTCCACTCCTTTAAGTTAATAAAGTACAAAGCAGCTGCAAAAACTTAGGTTTTAAAAAATTTTTTCTATGCTATCAGTATACTGTTTTTATTTGGGGTTAATTACACTTCTATCCGATCCAAATTTCACTTAGTCCCGATAATTTTAATTTGAACAATTTGGTCCATACACTTTAAGTCGAGTTTTAATTTGGTCATTCTGTCTAAATTGAAGATTAAAATTAACAATCTGGGACATCTATCAATTTTCTAAATTGTACACAGACAATTAACAAAAATTTAGATAGAATGATCAAATTGAAACCAAACTAAAAGGGTACGGAACAAATTGTTCAACTTGAAACTATAGGAACTAAAGTGAATTTTTTTTTTTATCAAACTAGGGTGAAAAGTGTAATTAACCATTTTATTTGTTAAAATGTGGTTTCTATATTAAGACTATGGTATCACTTTTGTTAACAACAAATTATTAAAAGTTATCGCACTGTTCAGTTGCAAAAAAATTGCAGGTTGTCTATTCATATCGGAATTAGTTTCTCTACAAAAGTGTTCTAGGTGCGTATCCGTGAAGTCTTCCTAAAAAATTAATAATTTTAAAAAAATTTAACACGTGACATGACGTGTCTGACATGTAGACATCTGTGTACATGGCTTGTTGGTGTCTTACGCCCATTTTGAAGTGTTTCTTGCTTTCTAGATTGTTGAAAGTGTAGTATTGGATTTGTGGGTTTGCAGCCAGGTTCTTCTCACCCTATCCTCTTTCTTCTCTGACTTGCTTATGAGCCCAATTTTCCATTTTTGCCAGGAACTGTGATGAAAACATGATGTGGTTGGAAATCCACAAGATAGAAGATGCCCCTTTTGGAGGTGCAATGACTTCAACCTTTCATTCGTAGGAGGAGAGAGGTGGTGTAAAGGAGGAAGTTGACATTTATTAGTTCCCAACAAAGTTAGTGACACTGACATGCTTGTTTAATACTCTGGAATCCGGATCCTCGGCCGCCCTACCCGGCAGCCCTACCCGGCAGCCCCCCAAAACGACGTCGTTTTGGGGTTTTTTTGTTTTTTGTTTTTTTTCCCTTTTCTTCTTCTTCGTTCTTGCCTTCTCTCTCTTCGAACAGAAACCAGAGGGGAGGGGAGAGGGAGAGGGAGAGGGAGAGGGAGAAGAGGGAGGAAGGAGGAGGGAGGAGAGAATCCGGACTCTAATACTTTGTACCCTGAAGAAGTTGGGAAAATTAAATTGTATTCATGAGGAAAGCTTTGAAACAATTTGATGATGGTCACCATTTCTGAAACTTGAGAGAGGGAACTTTTACTTTTGATGATTAGTATGGTTTGTCATAAATGATAAAGTGACGTGTATAGTTTGTCTAAAATTTTATCACCGACATATACCCTGATCATTATTTGTTTAATTCGGTGTATGTAAACTTATTGGAAGCATTTAGGAGAACAAGTTAATATATTTCATGTGATTTCTAAACATTTGAAAATATGATTTGTTTTGCACTGTTTTCCTGGTATGTCGTTTATATATATATATATATATTAGCAGAACACATGACAAGATATTAGTTGGTTTTACTATTTTCTTAATAATAATTTTCAAACAGGGAATCAATCATGTTTATCGGTAGGAGATGATACAAATGTAGTGACTGACATTTTCACATGCACAGTTCTTTTGGCCAACTTGGGAGGAAATTTAGACCTTTTGAAATTTTTGTTGGTAAGTTGATTTTCAAATCAAAGATAGTCGAATCAAATAGCTTATGTTAAGAAGTTGATTTTTGAATCAAATGGTTTTGTTCAGAAGTTGATTTCCAAACAAAAAAAATGTGTGTTCAGAGAAAATGATGCAGAAATATAAGTTCCCGATTGATGAGCTTCATGAGAATTCAATTTGGAAGTTAAGTGAGGTTTTTCTGCTTATGAAAGGGATCAGCTAGGAAGCACTCTCAAAAGTTAATCCAAATCGTACTTCTGTTTTCTTGACTTAATTAATGCTGTTTAGTATCATTGGAACTTGAAAATAAAATAAAATTTACACATAAGAAAAGATCACCAAGTGTATGCTAGACAATAGATACTATGTTATTTTTTTTTAATGATACTAAAATAAGCATTATTAAGTCGAGAATTTTGATTATTTTGTTTGTTTGTTTTATTTATGTTTAAATGCAATCACAACTGCACAATCATATGTATATAAAAATCAAGAGGATCACTTTGCTGTAAAACATGCTCGGTGCAAGTGTTCTTTTTTGTTTATTGCAAATGTAATATGTGATTGGGTGTAAGTGCAATAGAGACACAGAATAAGTGACAAGTGTGCACAATTCTAAACAATTTCCATTTGCATCAGACAGTTCAAATTTGCACTTGTGTATATATTGCACTTGCGCCGAGCATGTGTTGTTGAGCAATGGAATGGGGAAGGGAAGAAGGTCGCAACAGAGGGTCTAAAGGGATTTGAGCGGTTTTGGTGGCTAGGGTTTTCATCAACTATTTTTTTTTTAACTAAATAATTTTGCAATTATAAAGTGATAAATGATATGAAGTGATTTAAGAACACCAATTAATCACTCCATGTCATGTGTGCATGCAATCAATAGATGAAGTCAAAAACATTGAAGAGGCCATCAAAATCACATTAAATGGTTTGTTTTAGTTTCTTCGGAATTGGGGTCACTGTTGTGCCTCAATTTGATGTACATTATGAGGTCACTGTTGTGCCTCAATTTGATGTACATTATGAGCTTATTTCTATGATTCGAACTGTCATTTTGTAGGGTTTGTTAAGTACGTGATGCCTACCAAAAATTATATTAATCGGATATCAATAACTATATGATCGGTAATTAAAAAAAAAAATTTTTTTTTTTGAGAAATAACATAAAAAATATACAATTCGATCATATACTCATTGAAGAGGCCATCAAAATCACATTAAATGGTTTGTTCGAGTTTTCCCAGAATTGGAGTCACTGCTGTGCCTTGCTAAAGGCACAGCAAGGCACAACAGTGACTATTGTGCCTTAATTTGAGATGTATTATGGGTTTATTTTTATGATTTGAACCGTACATTTTGTAAGGTTTGCTGAGTACTTCATTCCTATCAAAAATCATATTAATCGGATATCAATAAGTATATGATCGAATTGTACATTTTTTATGCCATTTCTCAAAAGAAAAACTTATTGTTTATTTTTTTGATTACCGATCATATAGTTATTGATATCCGATTAATATAATTTTTGGTAGGTATCAAGTACTCAACAAATCCTATAAAATGCACGATTCAAATCATAAAAATAAGTTCATAATATATCTCAAATTGAGGCACAACAGTGACCCCATTCCAGTTTGTTCCCGCAAAATTTGGAATTTTACAGCTGAAAAAAAAATCTTGAATAATTTATGGAAAATGTTCATATAAATCATGTCTCTAGCTTGAATAATTTATGGAAATGTTCGTATAAATCATGTCTCTCTCACTTCTACACATGGACTAGATGGGTTACAGCACCTTACCTCAATTGTTTTCTTGGGCACACTTGTCGATGGAATTATTGGTGGTGACTGAGACTTTGCTGTAATTCTTTTTAAAAAGTGTTAATAACACCAAAATTATTTTTATTATTAATAAATATTTGTGTATTTTTTGTAATATATATAATTTGTATATTTTGATCCCTTAATTATAATAATACATCACTTCTAGGGGAACATAGAAATATTAGTTGTTATTAAGATTTTGTTTGGCAATTACATATTTTAATTAAAAAGTAATTTTTTTTATAAATTATTACATTACTCTCTTCATTTTTTACAAATTTTTTTATAAAAAATTTAAAAATTACTAAAATAACTTATTTCAAAACGAACCCTAAATGTGTTTATGGTGACTTGTTTGAGTTGAGATCTTCTCCAACTTTTCTCTCTAGTCTCCCCTTCGGGTGATGGTCAGATCGAGCCACATCATCGCACTCAAAATGTGTGGTTGAGACTAGCTAAAAAACAAAAAAAATCAATTAACTCACTGATACACGTCCCACCATTCACACACACACTCTCTCTCTCAATTCTAATAAAAAATTAAAAAATTATTTTAATCTTTTTTTATTTTATTTTCATAAGATATATATATATATATATAATTTTTAATATAAAATTTTAATTTTGTCATTTCTAATAATTTTTTTTGATTTTATCATTTTAATATTTTTCATTTTATTTTCATAAGATATATATATATATATATATAATTTTTAATATAAAATTTTAATTTTGTCATTTCTAATAATTTTTTTTGATTTTATCATTTTAATATTTTTCATTTTATTTTCATAAGATATATATATATATATATATAATTTTTAATATAAAATTTTAATTTTGTCATTTCTAATAATTTTTTTTGATTTTATCATTTTAATATTTTTCATTTTATTTTCATAAGATATATATATATATATATATAATTTTTAATATAAAATTTTAATTTTATAAAACTAATATTATTGAAAATATACCTTTAAAATGAGACTAACATTAAATATATTTAATAAAAATTTAAAATAAATAAAAAGTAATCATTATGTTTAGCCCTTTTTTTTTTTTTTTTCATGAGTAGTGATATATTTCTTTAATTTTAGAATTTTAATAGAACTTTAATGACGTGACAGGAAATAAATTATATTAAAATAATAAAATTAAGATTAAAATATCACATCATAACAATAAAATCCACTCCTATTAAAACTTATCAGAATTTTTTTTATTAGAACTTCCAGTCATTTTTTTTTTCATTCCTGATACTCGATGACACGTATATGATATCAGCAATGATTGAGGGCCACAATTTTTGTGACTCAAATGGCTCAAAATTGCTAAAACGACGTCGTTTTGAGTACAAAACAACTTCAAAATTGCCAAAACGACGTCGTTTTAACAATTTTGAACCATTT